TTTACAAACTGACTTTATTATTCTTTTTTCCTCTAGTCAAATGCTTTTTCCCACACAACAAGAGCAAATGTTATGGGTCTGGATCTTTATTTACAAGGTATAAGTCTGCCCTGGCCAGTTTGTTACATGTTCCTTCAAAACTTGATGTCAGTAGTAGAGCGAACACAACCTCTGCTCTGATTGGTCGGCAGGCTCAGCTCCTGAAGTGGAAGGTCTGGGACTTTACATGCAGAACGGACCATGTTTAGATGTTCCCTTTTGAACAGTAGAGCAAATATGACTCATCTGAAAACATTTTGGGTTTGAACATGGTCCCAGCATCATGATTTTTCCCTGAGGACTTTTCTAGGGATAAATGATGAGAATTTATGAACAGAAATGTAAGAAACATTTTTATAGAACTATGAATACAAATGTTTCTTACATTCTTTTTCATATATATACATACATAGTACATATATATATATAATAAAATATATTACATTTAATCTATATTTTTAGATTATATATATATACTATGTTTATATATATATATTTACTTTTTAAAATTTGACATTTGAAATGTATATAATTATAAATTATCCTACAAATTATAACTTTTATTTTAAGATAAAACTGTTATAACTTTTTTATAAAATAAATTGTTTTATAAATGTAAAACACACACACACACACACACACATATATATCCAGTGTATATATATGCACACACACACACACATTTAAAATATGTTATATGATTTTTTTAATCAAATTAAATATTACATAAAATATTAAAAAGTATGAAAATATAAATAACGCGAACCTATTGAAATTATTGACTAACACTTTTACTGTAAGAATCAAATGTGTGATTAACAAAGTAATTTTGTGGGGCGTGTGCGTGTGTGTGTGTGTGTGTGTGTGTGTGTGTGTGTGTGCATGCAGGAGGCAGATAACAGGCTTTAACCACTTAAAATGCTTAACAGGTTGTGCATGGTTGGGTAGCAAGTGTGGCTGTCAACATCTGCAGAAAGTGACATCAAGCTATTGAATGTGATTTGACCGTGGTGATGATGAGTATAGGAAACCATTTGAATGTGGATAATGTCAATTAAACTCATGCTTGCACAAGGGAGCTTTTAATTAGGCAGGCTGAACTGTTTCACAAACAGTGAGTGAATCACATATAATTGACACCCTGAGAATAAATGCCTCCTGTCGTGAGCGTCAGATTAATAGATGAGGGTGTCTGTACTCTGTACCTTTAAATTGGTCCTAACTAAAGTAATTCAACATTCAAAGAGGAACGTTTCGCATAGCACAATATTGTGGTTTTAAATTCGCCACTACAAACCAGACTTTGCTTTTTTTAAACTATTTTAAAAAGCAATCTAAAGCAAGTGTTTCAGTGTAGCACATCTACATTCATTCTTCTCTTTATGAGCGAGCCCGAGGTTCACCAAGTGTCAGTTTGTGTGCCAAAAGGCCACCTGCCCACCGCTTTACATGAACGCCCCTGAGGCTCAACACTGAGGTTCAAACAAAGTCCTGCTAGCCCTGATGTTAACTACACCAAGCACTTGGTAACTGTACACCAAAAAAATAAATAATGTGGTGGTGCTACTATGATACTGTCGCCTCTGGCTTGCTTTTAGTTGCGGACACTTAATATTCAACAGTTTTACTGATTTGACTACTGACACTATTGAATGACAACTGAGCTGAGCTGGACGATGACATCACTGTTTTTCTGCAGAACTGCTCATAGATGAAAATATGAACTAATTTAATAATTGATGATCTTTACAATGGAACTGAATCAACACTGAATGACTTCAGCTGAACAACGACACTATTTTCTTTTAGAGCTGCTGTATGTTTGTATCATTGAATTTTTCCTGTTATTACTGTAACTGCTTTGATACAATCTGTACTATTGAATAAAGCGCTATAGAAATAAAGGTGACTTGACTTGACTTAATAATACCATGTTCATGCAACGTGATATTAGCTCCAAGGTACTTCATAGAATACCACGCTTGTACCATGTTTTGGCACACATTTGTCGGGATTGATTCAACCTCTTTCAGGTTAAAAGGACCTGCCCTGTGCAATGATTGCTCTTTACCAGACTGCTAACTGAGGTTTATTTTACCGATAAAGATCAGTGACGTACTCTGTCTGTATTATGTTTGTTTCTATCCATCTATCAACTCACTGTATCCACCTGTCTGGATTCTGGTACATAACACCCACTTTTCAAAATACAATCAATTCCTAATAAATCTATCCAACCCAATCAATCTCATGAGAAAACTATGGAAGCTTGTTTCCGCCACTGAATAAATAAAATAAAAAAATAACTGCGACTTTTTATCTCACAATTGCGAGATCAGAATTGTGAGAAATAAAGTCGCAATTGCGAGATATAAAGTCGCAATTACGAGAAATAAAGTCGCAATTGCGAGAAAAAAAGACAGAATTGAGACTTTTTATCTCACATTTGCGAGTTTACATCTCGCAATTCTGACTTTATAACACATAATTGCGAGTTTATATATCGAAATTCTGACATCTTTTCTCAGAATTGTGAGATATAAACTCGCAATTGCGAGTTATCAGGCCAATTCTAAGGAAAAAAAAGACTAACTTTTTTCCCCTCAGAATAGTTTATATCTCACAATTCTGACTTTACAACACGCAATTTCGACTTTATATCTCGCAATTCTGACTTTATAACACGCAATTGCGACTTTATATCAATCAATTCTGACTTTATATCTCGCAATTCTGACTTTATAACACGCAATTGCGACTTTATATCACGCAATTCTGCCTTTATAACCTGCAATTGCGACTTTATATCAATAAATTCTGCCTTTATATCTCGCAATTCTGACTTTATATCACGCAATTCTGACTTTATATCTCGCAATTCTGACTTTATATCACGCAATTCTGAGAAATAAAGTCAGAATTGCGAGCTGTAAACTCGCAATTGTGAGAAAAAAAGTCAGAATTGTGACATATAAAGTCGCAATTACCTTTTTTATTTTTCATTCTGTGACGGAAACAAGCTTCCATAGAAAACAGAACTACTTTAACTCAACTCAACTTTTTTTAGAGCACTTTCAAAAACCACAATGGGTACCAAAGTGCTGTACATGAGAATAACAAAAATAAACAAGGATAAAAAAAAAAAATTAATTACCACGAGGCGATTTTGAATGAATTCATAAAATGTAATTTGTATGGAAACAAAAGAAAAAATGCAAACATGAATGTCCACCCCTAAACCTAACCATCAGTGGGACGTAAGCAGATTATACAAAAATGTACGAACAAGACTGAGAATTCAACAAATTCACATGTGATCTTGGTCCTGTGACTCAAAAGCATCAATACAAATGTCAGACTCAAGCGTACAGAGAATAACAGCAACATAAATGAACTCCTCACTCAAATCAGACATGACTGCTATCCTACGAAATCATACGCTCATCTCTGGCCTTGGGCTTGAGGTCAGTGACCTCTCATCTGTCAGCACCAACTCAAGCTCTGACCTCACTGGATGCAAACGTTTACATCCAGGACAAAGTTTGAGGAAGGGATATGATTGGTCAGGCACGTTCAGCTGATGTCACGTTTTGTCTCTAGAAAATTCTGGGACATTCTTGTTTACTCATGTTCATTGATTGCAAAGGTCTCCCAATGAAGTTCACTGAAAAACAGATTTTTGCCTCATCACATGGTCACACCTCTTCTGATATCGGCTACCGTGTCAACTATTGATTGGTCGTTACTGTCCATTCACATTCAATGTGCGTCATACTGTATTGCCACATCCATTAATCCAATATAAAATGAACTCCAAATCTGACTTTTGTGACAGTTTTAGTCTGCTTGTGTTAGCTTTAAGGTTTACACAACTGTCCATCTAACATGTCCCAACCATTCAAAGTTTTACAGAGTACCTTCTACTGATCAACTCAAAGGGGATTTCTCACTTTCTCCCTGACCTGACCCCCCATTCCCTGACTGATGAGCATAAGGTCCAGAGAACCCAGAGATTCAGAGATGACATCCTTACAGGCCATCTGGCATGTCAATATTCAATACACCGCCATGAACTAAAACCCAATACACTCTCTTAAGCTGAGCCAAGGAGACAAACCCCATTTGGAGAGGTAACTGAAGGATTCAACACGTGGTAATAGATCCTGTTAAAACCATGCAGCAGATATGGAATATAACATGCAAATAAGTGTTAGCTACTTCTGCATCTGTATACACATCATTTTCAACACTAATAAAAAGGATTGGCCTCAATTATAAGCCTTAATCAGTCAAGGAGAATGCACCTTAGACTCTTAATGTGCTTCAATGAGGACAGCAATAGATGAAATTACTTGAGCAAATTAACCAAAGTTAATAATAAGTCTGCTTTTGAAATTAATATTATCACTAATAATAAAATTCATTAATATTATTGCCAAACTACTCATATTTATTTTATTTATTTCAGCTTTTTAATTAACTTTACCTTTTTAATGAAGCTTTTTTTCTTTTTTAACTTTTAAGACAACACAAAAAATATATAATTCACTTTAAATCAGAAATTGACAGCATGTTCATCATAAGAGGTGTGCATTCAAGACATTGTCTGTATGAACTGAATTTTTTATGTATTTCTGTCTGAATAGCAATATATCTGGACAAAAAACAACGTGACGTCACTGATCCATATACAAAGTAAATTAAAGAAGCTAAACATATACTTAACATAGCTATAATACAGTCTCCTCAGGACCATCACAAAGGGAATCAAAATCGTTACATTTGAGTCCATAACAACTTAAATATTCACAATTTGTCCATTTTCCACAACAATTAAAATTAACCGAAGTATTTTCTTTCACTTATTTTCGTTTTCTAATCTTACAGATTATGCATCTCAAAAGTAGCCAACTTTATAAAAAAAAAGAAAAAAAGAATAGATCACACATTGTATTACTTACTATAGTCAATGAGCTCCTGGTCTAAAGATCTTTGCGACTATAATGAAAAATGATGTTTTCGGTTTAAGTTTCCAGTGTTTCGGATGCTTTATGTTCCTGTGGTTCTTCACCTCGTGTGGTTTGATCACAATAGAGACAAAGCGCCTTGAGAAATGAAGTGAATCGGTGAAGGCTGTATGATGAGTAGTGGGGGTTGTTTAGGTCCCGCCTTCTGTGGAGCTCGTCCAATAGCAGCCGACAAGACCCTCCAGTGGCCCCTCCCACTTCTTCCAAGAGATCCATGAAGAAGAATTGTATTGATAACCTGTCAGAGGAAAGAAAAATGAATTGGTAGGCCTACATAATAAAAGAAAACTGGAAACACTCAAATCAAATAATTATGAGAAGTAATATAAGAATATTGTACATCTCTAAGCATAATTCATCCCTTAAATTAATACAATTTACCATTTAGTAAGTCAATTATAGAGTTAGTTAGTTAGTTAGTAAATGATGAAAGTAAAACATCACATGGTCAAACTTTAAAAGGTATTTGATTTAATCTAAATACCATAGTTTATCTTATTCTAGTCATACTGGATTCTCAGAGGACTCTTATTTAAAACAGTTAAAGTAAAATAACAAAATAAAAATAAATATTTTTATAAAATAAAAAAATTATAAAATAATAAGAATGTATTAAATAAAACAACTAATACAATTAAATAACAATTCAATTTAATTAAATTATAAAACTGTAATTTGTAGTTATTAAACAGCACAACATTATCAAATCAATCAGGACCCTGGCTAAAGTACATTGCAATAGTGTTTTTAGAGCTGAGAATATTGCCAATGCGCCCCTAGACCCTCGTATGTCCCTCTGTGTGTGTGAACGAGTGTCCATTTTCACATTAGATAGGGATGATCCATTATACTGGCGTTCAGCAGATGTCCAGTGTCCTGTTGTCTCCATTAGGTTTAAATATAGTGCTTGAAGTGTGTGTGTACGCGAGTGTCTGGGGTCAGCGGAGGTTAGATGGATAGACCTCCGCCACTGCAGCTGTTCACCAACACTCCATCTATTTGTGCCATGGAATGCACCTGAATTTAGCAGTGCCTGAACGCCATGGGAGAGAAACCATTGGCTGTCTGCTAAATCCACAGACATGCAGTGCTGTATAAATGTTATTGACCTGTTAATTAATCAGTAAAGATTATTAATGATTATGATAAACATCAATTTTACTTTCAGAAGAATTTATGAGTCATGCTTGACGGCCCCACCCCCAGTCTGATGGGGAAAATACATTTAATTAAAAAAAAACCTCCTGAACAGAAACGGTCTAAAGGAAGCTGAAATGTATGCATTATTATTTTTTTATAAAGTCATTTGTCACTTACGCTACAACCCCCATATTAGCGACATGATGGGGCACGCCCCATCAACAGTGCAAGACATTACGTGCCTGCATTTTGACAGCGCTTAATGGAGACTAGCAGCTAACCACTGAATACCACTGTAACTAACAGGTGAGTAGCCTAAGTTGGTGATACTTGAAAGCATAATTGAAATAAGATCATATAGTTATCTTCTAGGGGTGGAACGGTAGCCTACATGTATTCGTATTGAACGGTATACGCGTCGACGGTTCGGTGCACAAATTTGCACGGAGAATAAAAATAAATAAATCTCTAAATGGCAATACATTTCGCTCTATTCACGTTTGGTGTGAACGTAGCATAATGAACAGGTTGCGATGTCAAGATTGCAATGCTGGAGTGTGAGTGTGTGTGTGTGTGTGTGTGTGCGCGCGCGCGCGGGCGCGATCGACAATGTGCTTTTGTCACACTCTAAACTCTTGTCAAACTGTACCTACAACTGTCACCCAACCAAACACACAAGCAAAGAGTGCCCCTTCTAGACCTGGTTTGTCGGTTTGTCAGTGTGTCAGAGCTGTCTAGTGCTGTGTTATCATTCTGCATCAATCTCTTTGATGCAGTATGCAAAATCGATATCATGCAGTAAGCTAGTGATAATGTTCATTGTTTGTGATACTGTTGTAATCTACTACTGTTTGTAGTGATACTGTTCACTTTACATTGTACATATTATTGATATTTTTTTCTTCTTCTAGTTTTTCTTGCCTACTTAGAGTGTATTATGGGGCATGAGCCTGCAATGTTATTAAATGTGTGTTCTATTTAGACATACTATCTGCTCTTGTTATTTATTTGTGATGTAATGTTTTTTTCTTTTCTCTCTCTCTTTAAATATGTTAAATTATCACAAATAAATTGAATATTGCACTTAAAATGCTATGGTTTACCTAAATAAATTATCGCCTAAAATGACAATTCATATTGTAACTTTCTGTCATTTGCACTAAAAACATCCCCGTCTCATGTTAACATCTCTAACCCCTCACATAATCATGACGGATCGCACTCACACATTATCTAAGCACCCATCCCATAACATGGATTATCAATAAGACATTAATTTAGTGTCCATAAGGAAGTTCAATCCATTGTTTATGGCCTGACGAGCCGCGAGAATACCACTACTCTGAGTGACGCGGTGCGTGTGTTTTAAAATAGTAGTTTTTGACAATCAAGTGCCACCCCAAATAAAAGACTGGCCCAAGCTTTTGAACTCTTGGCTTTGAGCTCTTTCATCGTGACTCGTCCCCGGCTCTCGTAGCCTATACACTTCTGTACAGCTGAGCTACCGAGCAAGCTTAATACGTCAGTATCGAACATATGGAGCTGGTGAAGTGATGCAAACTTAAAATATATCCGTTTACAAATCATGCACCATGGTAAAAAAGTGTTTAGAGGTCATAACATAATTCTGCAAAGAGTCGCATAAAAACAAATCTTTATTAATCCATATGCCCCTGTAGCTAATCATAATTGTGTGTGAAAACGATTAAAACGTGCTTGCTGTTTTACTGAGATGGTCCTCACTGCAGAACACGAAATCCAGGGGGAGGAGTTGGATCCAGATCCAACTCCTCCCACCTTACATATACCTAAACCTACCCACCTCCGCCCCCTGATCCCTAACCCCACCCCTAATCCTACCCATCTTCACCCCTTAGATCTGGATCCAACTCCGCCCCCTGGATCTCGTGTTCTGCAATGAGATGCTACTGGTTTTACTGCCTCTAGTGTTCATTTCTGCAGGTGTCAAGTAACGAAGTACAAATACTTCCTTACCTTACTTACTTGAAGGGATACTCCACCCAAAAATGACAAATCTGTCATCATTTACTCACCCTCAAGTTGTTGCAAACCTGTATGAGTTTCTGTCTTCTGCTGAACACAAAGGAAGATATTTTGAAGAACGATTGGAACCAAACAGTTGTTTGGCACCATTGACTTCCATAGTAGAAAAAAATAATACTATGGAAGTCAATGGTACCAAAGTTCCAATCGTTCTTCAAAATATCTTCGTTTGTGTTCAGCAGAAGAAAGAAACTCATACAGGTTTGCAACAACTTGAGGGTGAGTAAATGATGACAGATTTTACATTTTTGGGTGGAGTATCCCTTTAAGTAGAAATTTTGGGTAGAATATCTATACTTTACTGGAGTAATTATTTTTCAGCCGACTTTTTACTTCTAGCTACATTTTCACGCACTTATCTGTACTTTCTACTCCTTACAAAAATAGCCTCGTTACTCCTATTTAATTTCGGCTTGTTTTCATTCCGGCTTGTCATCGTTAAAAAAAACCTATCCCATCGCACCTGCAATGTGACATTGTTGCCATATAATTGATCAAAGTACATACCAGGAAGGTATCAATCAGGATTATGAGTAATTTTTATTTTTTGATTAATCACTTGGATTAATCATTCATTTCGACAGCACTAATGTTTAGTGTATAGATAGACAACCATACAAGGGTATTAGTTACTAAGCTTGCCCTGGGTACACCAATTGTATTGTCTGTTGCCCTCACAGATTCCTGCAGCTAAGCTTATGTACATTTACACTCACCGGCCACTTTATTAGGTACCCCATGCTAGTAACGGGTTGGACCCTCTTTTGCCTTCAGAACTGCCTCATGCCACTTCTTCGTGGCATAGATTCAACAAGGTGCTGGAAGCATTCCTCAGGGAGTTTGGTCCATATTGACATGATGGCATCACACAGTTGCCGCAGATTTGTCGGCTGCACATCCATGATGCGAATCTCCCGTTCCACCACATCCCAAAGATGCTCTATTGGGTTGAGATCTGGTGACTGTGGAGGCCATTTTAGTACAGTGAACTCATTGTCATGTTCAAGAAACCAATTTGAAATGATTAGAGCTTTGTGACATGGTGGAAGTAGCCATCAGAGGATGGGTACATGGTGGCCATAAAGGGATGGACATGGTCAGAAACAATGCGCAGGTAGGCCGTGGCATTTAAACGATGCCCAATTGGCACTAAGGGGCCTAAAGTGTGCCAGGAAAACATCCCCCACACCATTACACCACCACCACCACCAGCCTGCACAGTGGTAACAAGGCATGATGGTTCCATGTTCTCATTCTGTTTACGCCAAATTCTGACTCTAACATCTGAATGTCTCAACAGAAATCGAGACTCATCAGACCAGGCAACATTTTTCCAGTCTTCAACTGTTCAATTTTGGTGAGCTCTTGCAAATTGTAGCCTCTTTTTCCTATTTGTAGTGGAGATGAGTGGTACCCGGTGGAGTCTTCTGCTGTTGTAGCCCATCCGCCTCAAGGTTGTGCGTGTTGTGGCTTCACAAATGCTTTGCTGCATACCTCGGTTGTAACGAGTGGTTATTTCAGTCACTGTTGCCCTTCTATCAGCTCGAACCAGTCTGGCCATTCTCCTCTGACCTCTGGCATCAACAAGGCATTTCCGCCCACAGAACTGCCGCTCACTGGATGTTTTTTCTTTTTCGGACCATTCTCTGTAAACCCTAGAGATGGTTGTGCGTGAAAATCCCAGTAGATTAGCAGTTTCTGAAATACTCAGACCAGCCCTTCTGGCACCAACAATCATGCCACGTTCAAAGTAACTCAAATCACCTTTCTTCCCCATACTGATGCTCGGTTTGAACTGCAGGAGATTGTCTTGACCATGTCTACATGCCTAAATGCACTGAGTTGCCGCCATGTGATTGGCTGCTTAGAAATTAAGTGTTAACGAGCAGTTGGACAGG